GCATAGCACATGAGAGGCAGCTAGCACAGCACATGAGAGGCAGCTAGCACAGCACATGAGAGGCAGCTAGCACAGCACATGAGAGGCAGCTAGCACGCTTCAGCAGCTCTGCCGCTGGTGTAGTAAACAAGCAGCAGGGTGTTTCCCAGCAGCTCTGCACCTGTGCTTACTGTCGGAGGGAGTATGTTTTAATGCATTTAATTTGAATACAGCCACGGAAATAATTAAGAGACCACAGCACAATTTTTTATTTCACTCACTCACTTCTCTATTTATGGGTGTGCGCCTGTGAATTATATATCTCATTAATGAAGGGCTTGTTCCTTGCTTTATGGCACTTCACATCTGCACTTATGTTTCGCATTCTTTTTGAATGTCGTTTGATGTCATCCTACGATTCATGAAAAACTGCTGGATAAGTTAACGCTCATCTCTGGCATTAGAAAGTCACTTCTGCCCTGGCTGGTTTCTGGTCATTCCCCGTATCTCCTTCTTCACCTTCTTCTTCTGTATTGATGTCTGAGAAATTCTGAACCTGGAAGCAACCTGCAGCTCAACATAGCCTTCTGCCAGCAGAACCACGATTAAACCAGAATTTAAAAATGCAGATTTGTTTAAAAATAGAGAGTGGTCTCTTAATTTTTTGGTAGCTGTATGTAATTCCTTCTATCAAGTGACGAGCAGAGTGACGAATGACATTCATGTGTCCGAGTTGCACACTGCCTTGTCGCGTGTATCCGGACTCACCTTCCTTTAGGTTCTGCACCCAAACATTCCTCATCTCGTTACTTGGGGCAAAAATATACAAGGTGCTTGTATCATATATAACCTGAAGGATGAAGAGTTCAGTGAAGGGTATTAGATGACTTATGCTCAGTAAAAAGCGTTCTAGAAATATCAACACTCCATACATTATGTTATTCATTTATTGTTCCATATTTGACTTATTCTTTAGAGGTTTGGGGCAATATATATAAACAAATACTAAATCATCGTGTTACAAAAGAAAGCTATAAGAATTTTATATAAAATGAATGATAGAGAACATACTAATAGCTTGTTTATTCAATCAAATATCTTGAAACTAAAGGATTTGGTTAATTTAAAAAACCCTGTTATGTATAAAGCTAAAAAGATATTATTGCCATATAATTTACAGAAGTTCTTTGTTTTGAGATCAAGTGATGGTAATAATAGAAGGAAGTTTGATTTTAAAAGTATAATTGTATGGACAATATTAAAGCAGATGTGTATTTCAGTATATGGAGTAAAACTGGAATAATTTGGATGATGACTTGAAAAAATGTTCAACTATTAATCATTTTAAGAAAAAAATAAGATTATGAACTTATGAGTTAAAAATTATGATTGAGTGATATTGTTTGCAGTTTATTTTGTATGATAGTTTATGTATATGGCCGTATGTAATTTACTCTATAATCATTGAGAAAGGAGCAGGACATACAAGAATTTTCTTCTTCCTACTCCTTTCGTGGAAATTTCGCGATGTAGGACTCAGGACAGCGTAAAGTCTTTTCAACCTTCAGTTTATTGTGGTATCTTACAGCACGGGCCCGGGGAGATACCTCAGGAGTTCTCCGCCGAGCCTCCTCTTACAGCACGGGCCCGGGGAGATACTGTACCTCAGGAGTTCTCAGCCGAGCCTCCTCTTACAGCACGGGCCCGGGGAGATACCTCAGGAGTTCTCCGCCGAGCCTCCTCTTACAGTTCTTTTTATCCCTGCATTCTACTGTGTGTTTCCATATATGGTTTGTTCCGGTGTTTCAGTGCTTGCTATTTCTTGACTAGGGCCTGATGCTATCATCTGACCTTGAACACACGGTTCCTACTGGCCTAGTGCATTCCTCTATTGCTAGGAGATTATACATATACATAACATTCACTACTTTTGTATTACATTTGGATTTTTCTCACACTCCCCTTTTCACTTATGGATTGTATGCAATGAACGGTTTGTGTTTGTGGCTTAATGATGATAATTGAAAAAACAAAGTGGAATAAACTGATTGATTGATTGATTGAAATGTGTTACTCAGCGGGTTTAAGTGACAGTCGGACAGCAGGAACATACCTGGAAGGGGTATTTATTTTGGCATGGAATAGCTGCGCCGCCATTCCTCACTATTTCAACACACTTTATCTTCTGAAGGTCAATAAATCCTTTCCTTGTCTTCCTCTGCAAAGCACATTGAAAATAACAGACAGATGATGATCTCAGTTTCAGGCTCATCTGATATGGGTTCCCCCATGAATGAATAGGTCACTGCAGGGTGACATAGTGACTGAGCATGTAGGCCTGCGTCCCAAGCGTGTGGGGATGTGTTTTCAGTTACTGTCCTCTGCACTGTGCAAATGGCTGTGTGGGATTTGCGTCCGACCCTAACACTCCCAAAGTGTGCTGCATATGGCTCCATGACTTCTGCACAAGAAGGCTGACAAACTGAGTATGCAGAACAAGCAAAACAAGCTTCAAAGTTCAGATGAAGATGGCTACCTGTGATGATACGGAGGACATTTCCTTCCTCAGTACACCCAGTAGGTTCTGCCCTCAGATACAACCAGTAATCAGATCCACCTGTTGCTCATGCTAACAGCCAATCTGGCTGCACCTGAATACTGCACACATAATCAGATAGGCAAGGTCAGGTTGCCTGTTAGTCTGAGCATGAGAATGGCTAAGGCGCCTAATCTAAGCCATTCTGGACGCTGTGCGGTGGTTAGGGCCAAACCATGGTGATTCCAGCATCTCAGAAACAGCCACCTTCCTGGGACTGACATAACATATGGTGTCTAGAGCTTACAGAGAGTAGAGCAATGAATAAAAAACATCCAGTGATGTTGTCACTGTAAGCATTTTGAGTTAAGGTGATGAGAAAGGACAGCATGACTACCTACCCTTAACCCGAACCTTAACCCTACCAAAGCCCTCCAGCTCAGCCTGTGCTGCTTAGACGCACGAACACTGTAACCATCACAAAGCAGAACTCGGTTTCTCTTTCATTAAGGAGCAGAAGGAGCCCTGCTTTGCTCTGTATCTGAGTGTAATCGCTAGCTTTTAGGATGCTCCAGAATCCTGAAGGCATTCTACAATGGGGGCATCATAACCTGGTCTGGGAGCTGCAGCCCCGTGCCTGGTGCGCCGGGCCGAATGTGGCCCCCCCGAGGAGGTGCAGCGGCAGAGCAGTGACAGTAATAAAACAGCCCACAGAGCCCAGCAGGGCACTGCTCTCTGCTGCGGTCAGGGAGGTGTTATCACAGCCTAAGGCCAGAAGGGGTGCCTGAGGAACAGCTTCTGCCCTCAGGCCGTTGGTATCTGAGAACAGACCACAGCTCACAAGCCACTTTATGCGCTTTATATATCCCAGACTGTCACTGCACACCATTTTACACTGCTGGTATACTGCTCTCTATTATTGCCTATTTTGCAGTTATTTTATCTTGTTATTTTTATTGTTATTTTTATTTAATATTGTCATGATCCGCTCCGTCCGCTCCTGATGTGTGCCACGCCCACCTCGTTACCTCGTGTTCAGCCCTAATTGTGATCGCCTGTGTCCTGTTAAGTCTAGCTTGTCTTTTGTATTTAGTCCTCGTCTGAGTCAGTCTTCCCCAGACTTGTCATTGTAGTGTCCGTTGATGTCCGTGCCTGTTCGTCCCTCCCTAAATAAACCCCGTTTCCCTGACTACCTGGCTCCGATCGCCTGCCTACCTGCACCGCTCGTCCACGAACGTGACAAATATATTTACTGTTGTTATTTGTATTGTTGTTGAATTCATTTTTCATTCTTATTATATTTTACATATTTTTACACCACTTTGTTGTCCTTTGTATTGCATACTTCCTTCAGCACAACCCAGGAAGCATAACGAAAAGCATTTCACTATACAGTCGCACACTGCATGTGTACGTGACAGAGAAAACTTGAATGTTGACCATGTGGAGACTCTCACTGGACACAATGCAGGCATGTAGACAGACTGGCCCTATGGACAGTGCAGCCAGTGACTCTCTCCTCAGACAGACACAAGGGTCCATCCCAAAATCTCACATATGCTCAGGCTGTTTTTCACTTTGCCTGTCAGTTCAGTCCTAGCAGACCGGTGGCTTAAGATCTGGCTGAACGCAAGCACAACCAACGAGGGGATGTCAGCATAAGCCGTGTGGCATGTTCATACAAACATCAAGGCAGAATGTGCAAAGCTCTCAGAAGAGACCTTCAGTTGTCCTGGGGGTGTCAGGCTAAAACACCTTAAGTTATGATTGTGTTAAACCTAAAATATGGTTTATTTAAACAGGTAGTGCTTATGAGAAACTTTTCATTTCTGAATACACAAACATTCTATTGAGGCAAAACTAGGTTAATAAAGTTTCATTTCATGTGAATTTTATTATAATAAAAAGCTCAGTTATTAACTGATGCCAATTCAGTCATCAGTCCCTCTCAGCCGACCACAGTTATAATCGGGGACTTGCTGTGTGCTCCTTGCATTTTATTTATGAGCAGACAGCTCAGAATGTACTTTAAATGAGTACAGTCCCGGATTATGTACGCTGAATTTCCGGGAATTAAAATTATGCACAAATTGCGAGATTCCATCATGAATGTCGGGCCCTGCAAAATGATCTCACCTCGGGTTCTGTCATAACACCTCTATCAATCTCCTGCACCCTGTCTTCTGTCACAAACACATCCTAACTTTCCGGAAAGAATCACTAGCACAAACAACACACATAAAACAGCGACTACTAGAAACCCATAGAAGTAAATATAAGAGATTTACTGAATCTCTTCTTGGTAATAAATGGGATTTTCTGCCAACACTATTTATGAACTAAACGATTCTGAGTTTCTGGGAACTGAGTAACTTCCTTCATGATCTTTTCCAAATAAAGGCCAGATCAGGCCTCGTTTTTTTGAAGGGCTTCTTACTCATTCTTATACCCTGACAGCAAACGGTGGGATAGGAGCTGTGACTGTCACAAACACTATTTACAGCTGTGTCATCAGGGCTGCTATTTGTGCTATGCTATTAACTAACCAAGAGACAGTGATCCCGCGCCTATCGCGGAAGATGCGTTCCAGAACCACCAGCGATAGGTGAAAATCCGTGATATAGAAAGAACATATACATAAACATTTTTTAAAGTTCAGGGATTAAAATACCCCTCCCACACGCTTTAAACACATGTAAACTTATTAAAACAAGACATATGATATGTGGATATTGGGGTAAGGATATGAGTAACATAATAATAATAAAATAATAATATGTAATGTGTGTGTGTGTGTGTGTGTATATATATATATATATACACTCACCTAAAGGATTATTAGGAACACCATACT